GAGAACCATGGGCAAATTACACCTCTTTTCTTTATATAATTACCCTTTTTCAGGTATTTATAGCAATGCGAGAATGGACTAATATGAAGTACATACAAACAACTATATAAATCACCCTGCATAATGCCTGATGCAGAAAAATTTCACAGCTAACATCTATGTGTCAGGATAGTATAATAGCTTAGGAGTGTGACTATTCTTGTCAAATCCCAACTCGGCTACTTATTTAGCTGTACAACCAGGAGCAACTTTTTAAACCTCTCTAAGCCTCAATTTTATAAGTGCATGTATAAACTAGAACTATGAATGGGTTTTGTACGATACAAAGAATTCATTATAACATCTGACCCACAATAAGCACAATAAATGTCTGTTACTATTACATTATCTTATTTAAGCATTCCAGACTTTAAAAGAGTATATTAGCTATCCTATGATATACCCAGAATTACCAAAAGATAATGTCCAGCATTCTCAATGGGACAATGTACAATTAATCAAGGCCTTCCAACCTCTTTATTTGCATATTTTATATAACAAATGATTAATTGATTTCTTAAACAGAAGCTTCTGTAATGCAGCTATGGGAAAAATACTACTTTTAAAAAAGCAAACTGTCATAATGAAGACACTAAAAAGTAACTTACTATTAGAAGCAGAAAACAAAAATATTTTTAACTGTTATGACGACTAATGTGCAAGGAAAAAAATGGACTGTATAAAATATAGGAAAAATATAAAGAGAGAATAGGCTATTATTAAAAAACAAGAATTTTTTAAAAATGAAAATGGCTTAAAAAAAGAATTGCAGGGAAAAAAATGGAAAGCTTAAAATCTATACAGGATATAGGAAAAAGTAGAATTTAAAATGATAAAAAATGAGGCAATGACATAGAAGACACTTGAGAGCAGTAAGAATACAGAATGTTTAAAAAGGGAAGTAGAGAAGTGAAAAGAATAAAGGGGTATTTTCTAACATCCTACTTAGTAAGAGCCTGAATGCTTTCACCCTAAAATTGGGAACAAGGCAAGGATATTCAGACTTACCACTCCTATTTAGCATCATGTTGGAAGCCCTTGTCAGTAAAATAAAGCAAGAAAAATAAAAGCTGTACAGATTGAAAAGGAAGAAATGAAACTGTCTTTATTCGCAGAGAATGTGACTGTCTACAAAGGAAATCACAAAAAACCTGTAAGAAAGCTGCTAAAAGTAATTAGTGAATTTACCAAGGTTATAGGATAGAGATCAGTATAGAAAATCTATTGTATTTCCATATACTAGCAATAAGCCACTGGAAAACAAAATTTGAAAAACACTACCAATAGTTCAACAACAACAACAACAAAAAAAAAAAAAGAAAGAAAGAAAAAGTACTTAAGGTACAAACCTAAGAAAATATGTACAGGATTGATACGCTGAAAACAAAAGACACTGATAAAAGAAATCAAAGAAGATCCAAATAAATAGATATACTCAATACTTGTTAAAAAGTCATTTCTCAATAAAGTTATTTACAAATTAAACACAACCCCAATCAATACTCCAGCAGGATTTTTTATAGACATACAAAAGCTGATTTTCAAATGTATACGAAAAGGCAAAGAAACTAGGATTGCCCAAACAATTACAAAAAAGAAGAAAAAAGTCAGTGGGTTCACAATACCTGATTTTAAGACTTACTATTAAGCTATAATAATTAAGGCACTGTGATATTGGCATAGACAAATAGGTCAATGAAATCAAAGAGAGATTCCAGAAAAAGACTCACACAAAAATATCAAATGTTAGACAAACACATTGTAATTCAACGACAAAATGATAATTTTAACAACAAATCACATTGGATCAAATGAACATGTACACGTAGAAAAAATGAACTTTGACCTGCACTTTATGTGTCACACAAAATTAACGTTAAATAGATTTTAGATCTAAACATAAAATATATATATGTAAAACATTTAGAAGAAAACAAAAGAGAAAATATTTGTGTCACGATTAGGCTGCAAATTCTTAGAAAACCAAAAGTAGGATCATGAAAAGAGAAAAAAAAAAAACAACAGATTTCATCAAAGATAATGGTTTTGTTCTGGGATACTGTTAAAGAGAATGAAAACGAAAACTATAAATTAGGAGAAAATATGTGCAAATCATATATCTCACAGAAGACTTCTAGAGAATATACAGATGCTCCTTGACTGACAATGGGCTTATGCCTCAATTAATCTACTGTAAGTTAAAACATAATAATTGACAAATGCATTTAATACACTTAATCTACCAAACATCACAGTTTAGCCTAGCTGACCTGGGACATGTTCAGTATACTTACATTAGCCTATGGTTGAGCCAAATCATCTAATACAAAGCCTATCTGTTCATCAATACATAACATTTTTGCATATTTATGAGATATGTGTGATATTTTCTTGTATGCATGGACTGTGTAAGATCATGTCAGGGTATTTAATATATTCACCACCATGAGCATTTATCATTTGTGTATGTTCAGAACATTTCACTTCCTCAATTCAAGCTATTTTGAAATGACCAATATATTGATGTCAACTATAAGCACCATACTAAATGATCAAACATTAAACTTATTACTTCTGATTTTATGTTTGTACCCATTAACCAACTTCCATTCATCCACCCTCCGGCCCTACATCCCATGCATCCTTCTCGGCCTCTGGTGACTACCATTGTACTCTCTATCTTCATGACATCAACTTGTTTAGCTCCCACATAGGAGTGAGTGCCTGTTATATTTGTCTGTGTCTAGCTTATTTCATGTAACACAATGATCTCTAGTTCTATCCATGTTGCTACAAACAACACTTCATTCTCTTCTATGGTTGAATGTTATTCTCATGTGTAATTGTACCAAATTCCCTTTATTCATCCATCCACTGATGGACACTTAGGTTGATTTCTTATTGTTGCAATAAACACAGGGGTACACATATTTCTTTAATATACTGATTTCCTTTCCTTTGAATATATACCAAATAGTGGAATTACTGGACTGTGTGGTAGTTCTAATTTTAGTTTTTTGAGAAATCTCCATACTGCTTTTGCATAATGGCTGTACTAATATACATTGTCACCAAAAGCATATGAGAGTTCCCTTTTCTCCACATCCTCACCTGCATCCATTATTTTTTTCTCTTTTTAATAGCCATTCTACCTGGGGTAAGATGATACGGCATGTTTGGTTCTGACTTGCATTTCTCTGATAATTAGTGATGTTAAGCATTTTTTCATATACCTATAAGCCATTTATATATCGTCTTTCAAGAAGCATTTGTTTAGATCCTTTGTCCACATTAAATGGGATTAGTTCCTTTGCAGTTGAGGTGTTTAAGTTTCTTGCATATTCTGGATATTGGTTATTTGCTAAGTCAATAGTTTGTAAAATCATCTCCCATTTGTCAGGTTGGGTCTTCATTTTGTTGATTGTTTCCTCGAATGTACAGAAGATTTTTAGTTTAATATACTTCCATTTGTCTATTTTGGGTTTTTTTGGTCCATGTTTTAGGAATGTCAGCCATAAAACTTTTGCCTAGACAAACGTCCTGGAGTGTTTCTCCTATTTTCTTCTAGTATTTTAATAGTTGTGGGTCTTATGTTTAAGTCTTTAGGTCTTTAATCGATTTTGAGTTGATTTTTTTATATGGTGAGAGAGAAGGGCCATTTCATTCTTTTGCATAGTTATCCAGTTTTCCTAGCACCATTTATTAAAGGTGGTGTCCTTTCCCCAGTGTATGCTCTTGGCACCTTTGTAATAAATCAGTTGGCTATAAATCCATGGGTTTACTTCTGGGTATTTTATGCTGTTCCATCGGTATATATGTCTGCTTTCATATCAACACCATGCTGTTTTGGTTACTATAGCCTTGTAATAAATGTTGAAACCAGGGAAGATGATGCCTCCAGCTTTGTTCTTTTTGCTTAGGATTGCTTTGGCTATTTGGGTTATTTTTTGGTTTCATACAAATTTTAAGATTATTCTGTTTCTGACAGGGACTAGACTCTTAAAATGGAGCCATGCTCCAGCTGCCTAAGACTCAGGGGGTGCATAGAATCCAGCAAGAGCACCCTTTCTAGAGCAATGCCATTGCATGAACTTCAGGGAGCTCCCTGTGCCAGTCTTGGGGCCCATGGGGTTCAAGAACTCTCCCACAGTTAGGATTACAGGAGTCTGCAGCAAGAATGTGGACACCTAGGGATCTCTCACTTACCCCAACTCTACACTGAGGAGCCTCTCCAGGCTTCTGGTTGATCCTAGCAAGGCTGTCCACCTCTCCTCCCTCTCCTCAGGTGTTTCCAGTCACTTCTCTGCCAAACTCTAGCATTCTCTTTTAGATGTTTTATTTAAAGTGTGATTACCTACTCACTATTTTGGTTCTTCTTTGTGGAGAAGTGTCCTGTGCCTCTAGTCAGCCATCTTCAAAAGCCTCCAAAAAATGGAGTATCTTATGTACCACACATCACTAGCCCAGGAAGAGATCAAAAGTAAAAGTATGTCAAAATTGCAATAGTTTTGCACCACTGTAAAATCTAAACTTAAGTCAGGGACCATATCAGACAATTTTCTGACTTTATAACAGTGTGAAAGCAATATGTATTCAGTAAAAACTATACTTCAGATTTTGAATTCTTGGGCTAGCAATTCTATTTTCCTGGGCTAGCAATATGTACGATATTCTCTCATGATGCTGGGCAATGGCAGTGAGCTACAGCTTCCAGTCAGTCATGTGATCACAAGGTTCTGATCACTGATTCTCTAGAGTGTACCCTATTTTTGACCTAGGATATTTTCAATTTGCAACAGGTTTATCAGGATGTAAGGCCATTGTAAGTAGAGGAGCATCTGTGTTTCTTTCGCCTGACTCTACCTCTCAAATCAAAATATTATCACTTTAAAAACTCTTCAGGTGTAATAATTCATGCCATACATTATTGAAAAACATATTTAAGATAGTATGTTCTATACCTTATAGGGAGCCAGAATTCTCTGCCTGAACTTTTCAACTGTTTCTTGACCCATAGAAGACCACGTATTGACAAATGCTTCAGCTTTGTCTTGTCTAAGATGAATGTTCTCTAATTGCTGCTGCAAAGCTGCTGGCTTCACATTGTGATACACTGCCTATTAAAAAGAAAAAAAAATTATATATGTCCCTCATCTTCATACAGAAACCTTAAACTATAATAAATACAAAATTATTTTTAAATGACTTAAGTCAAAAAAAAAAAAACCTCATACTCCTATAACAGACATTTTTGGTTATTTTACAAATAATAAAATACATGACCAAGAGCTGGAAGATTCAGGATTAAATGGCCTAAATTATTCAAGATGATTTTTTTTTTTCATTTTTGCCTATGCTTTAAGTAATCCTAAATCCACTTAATAACCAAAAAACTCCTTCTTTGCTTTGGCTATGTAAATAGTACCCTAATTAAAATTTCATTTATTTCACTTAATCATTTCAAATAAGTATACAACAGTTTTGTTTCCCAACTAACAATTTTTTTCCAAGAAGTATTTTCCCAAAATTACCTTACCTATCAATTTCCTACATGATATATAATTAAAAGTTGTAAAAAATTTTAACAGTGATACCAGTTCTGTTTCTTACATTATTCTGGAACACCATGCTATGCTGTCCTACTCAATGATCCTTTTCTTCTACTGAACACCCACCAAAAATCAGAACCGCATTTATCTTTGTGATCTATAATGTATGTAAGGCTGCAGTAGATAACTGGCAGCTTGTCTTCCTAATATGTTCATTAAAAAGCTCATGAAGTTACAAAACTATTTAAACTTTTATCACAAAACTATTTAAACTATTAAAATAAAATAAAATATTATTTTTAATCAACCAACAAGAATTTATGAGGATCTATTTTAAGCCCACCAATGTGTTAGGCTTATATAAGATACACAAAAAATATGATCCTGCTCCCCACAAATTAGAATCTGGTGAAGGAGGCATAACTAACATATATGAACTGCTGAAAGACTAACAATGAGCACAAGGATTTTTAAAAATCCAAATAAAGGAAGACTGAAAGTATAAGGGGTCACAGCTCAAGTAAAGGAGATGAGCCTTGAATAGGAGCTTAAATCATGAAGTGAATTTAGATGAGAAAAAGGGATGCAGAAGGCAGCTTAGTAGCACATAACATGACAATACTTCTTTTCTAAATGTCTTACTTACCAGCCTAGTCAATACATCCCCCAAATCACTTAATATCTTAAGTAAAATACGTCCATTTTTCCATTATACCAAGTACCAACAAATTAAAATCTTTTATAACTGTCTCAAATCAATGAAGTCTCAATTCATTTTTTCAAATACTTTATAATATTCAGGTATTTTTACATTGAAATTGTTAACTAAAATATATTCACAGCTTCCATCTTGCATACTTTTTAATTAAAACGGAATGTTAAAGATATCATAACAATACAAATATGTAGTAAACATATCATGGTTAGAAAATTTGAGGCAACAAAAATACCTGTTCTAAAATAAATGATATTGTTTCAAGAACAAGGTGAAGATCTTGTTTCTCTAGAGAAAATGCCACTTGAAGTTTTTCTTCCTCTTCTTCACTGAAACTGCTCTCAGCCTATAATACAAATAGCAATCTATTATATTAGCACATATTCAGACATTCAAAATTCATACTTGACAGAAGATTCATTTATTTGTATATGAGATGAGAACTTTAAAGGAAAATACATGGTGAAAAGAAATTGATGTGCATATAAATTTATAAAATGTATGATGCTCATTTCTAGACCTTTGTAAACAAAACAAATTAGATTAAACAAATATCTTTCGGTGACTCAGGTCATAATTACGAGCATCAGAGCCCTGTGCTAAGTGGCTCATGTATCCTAAAGAACTGCTGAGATACATGGATGATTTTTTAACTAGAGCAAAAACAAATCTAAGACTTCTGTCCTTTTATGTTTCTTGGGTCTGATTTTCATAACTCTTTCATTTCATCTCATGATCAGCAGTCATTTCTTAAAGCTGCCTACATGCCCCATGACAGCATCTTCAACCCCCAGTTTGCTATTTTTAGTGTGCCATGGTCAGGAACCCAGAGAACTGACCTCTCAAAACTAGATATACAGCCCTGTTACCTCAACAGGCTTCGTGTGAGGGCCTCAAAGTCTCTCCTATGAAGCCAAGTACATGAGTTTTTTTATTGCGTGAGCTGTAACAGTTATTTTTGAAGTGCAAAGGCCACAAATGTTTATTTCTAAGTTCCCAGCTATGGAAGTTCATCTGACTTCCATCAGTATTTCCTAATGCAAACTGCTGGCACGCTGAATGAGACAATTCTTTGTGCAGGACTGCCCTAAACACTGCAAAATATATACATTTTTTGAGACGGAGTCTCGCTCTGTCGCCCAGGCTGGAGTGCAGTGGCGCAATCTCAGCTCACTGCAAGCTCCACCTCCCGGGTTCACGCCATTCTCCTGCCTCAGCCTCCCAAGTAGCTGGGACTACAGGCGCCTGCCACCACACTCAGCTAATTTTTTGTATTTTTAGTAGAGATGGGGTTTCACCATGTTAGCCAGGATGGTCTCGATCTCCTCACCTCGTGATCCGCCTGTCTCAGCCTCCCAAAGTGCTAGAATTACAGGCGTGAGCCACTGCGCCCGGCCGACACTGCAAAATATTTCTTTTTTTTTTTTTGAGACGGAGTCTTGCTCTGTCGCCCAGGCTGGAGTGCAGTGGCCAGATCTCGGCTCACTGCAAGCTCCGTCTCCCGGGTTCACGCCATTCTCCTGCCTCAGCCTCCCGAGTAGCTGGGACTACAGGCACCCGCCACCTCGCCCGGCTAGTTTTTTTTTTGTAATATTTAGTAGAGACGGGGTTTCACTGTGTTAGCCAGGATGGTCTCGATCTCCTGACCTCGTGATCCACCCGTCTCCGCCTCCCAAAGTGCTGGGATTACAGGCTTGAAGTCCCTGGACATTAAATACCAGCAGCAGCCTCCACACATTGTAACAAAAAAAGAAACAAAATCTCCATATATTTGTATATGCCAGGATGAGCCAGGAAGATGGCCAAAGAGGACTCCCGGATCCATAATCTGGCATGCCCACATTCTATACCTAAGTTGTCTTTGTTCCCTCATACTGATTCCTACTCGGGATTCCAAGGAATCAGTCTGGACAAAAACATATCTTCTGCCCATAAACAGATCAAACTTGGTAAAATAAAAGTACCAGTAGAGGGGCAACAAAATCCCAAAACCTCTTCACCAATCTGCCTGCCTCAGTTTCACTATTCTAAGAATTCTGCCTCAAGACAAAGGCCAACTTGATGGAGTCGGGGCACATAAAAGAAAGTTGGCAGATCCTGAAATGCAGTGCAAACTTGACTGAAGAGCCCTTATCAAAATAGGAGCCCCTCTAAAAGATGATCCCCTGAAACTGTACAGGAAAAAAACAATTACACCTTTCCTGATATTTTCTTAGCAGGCAAGTATTCACATACATATGTTTCTTTATTTAAAAGTACCTGGACATTAAATGCCAGCAGGACTGGTAACTTCAGTTTTCAACAAGCACCTCTATTCCTCTCCACTCCCCTACCTCTGATGACAAAGCATTCAAGCTCCTCCATGGAATTCTTTAGCCACTCAGTTAACCCTAAGATAGATACTAACTTATTCTCAACTCCACACACGACTGAGAATGTCAAAGACAAACATCACAATTTTCTGTGCAAGTGTTCCACTCTCCCTCAGTGTGAAGAACAAAAGATGTGTGCAAGAGTTTCTTGTCCCATATTGCTACAAACAAGCAAGCACCCACCAGCTCAAGAAACAAAGCAGAATATCTGTATCGCCCACATCATTCGCTTTTGGGCCAATTTATGAAATGTTCCATACCCTTTCTTGAGGTTTTGTGTAATAAGGGATAGATTTACGGAGCCAAGCTGCCTTACTAGCTAGCTGTGTGACCTTGGGAAAGTTACTTAACTGATCTCTGTCTCTATCTTGGTTACCTCATAGAAAAAATGAAGATGACCAGAGATGACCACAGTACCTACTTTTTCAAGTTGCCGTAAGGATTAGATGAGCTAGTAACACAAAGCCATTAGCACCACACCAGTGAAAAAGAAACCAATGTAACTTTATGAATAGCAAATACCACAGAATGTTGCTGCTATCATTGCAGTTTCTCCTTTCTCTCCATCCGCATCACAAATTCCTTAGAAAAAGGAATACATTATAGAAGACTGAGGTTTGTTTTGTGTTTTCCACAGCAAGGAAAATAATTAACTCCAAGAATATTTACTGAGTGCCAACTATACTAGTAGCAATGTATTAGGAATGGGAACTATAAAGATGAGTAAGACATAATCCTCAAGATATTTAAAACCAGAGGAAGACACATTAATAGGTTTAAGGGATTTGGTTGCCTTCTAATCATGAAACAAATACTTATAATGCAGTACTAAAATCAGGTGAGAATGAATTAAAGCACAGAAGAAAGAACAAACTGCTGAGACTGAGACTGTGAAATCCTTGAAGGATGAACAGGTTACTCAGTAAAGAGCAGAAGAAGGCCATTTATAGGCAAGGGAAAGAATATATGCATAGATACATTGCTGAAAAAGTTCATGGCATGTTGTAGTAAATAGGCACCATCCAGTGTAACTGGAGCACTTACAAAATGAGAATGTAGACTGCAGCCCTATTATAATGGGACTTGTACACAATGTTAAGCATTTTAAACTTTTCTCCATGGGGCAATGGATAGTCACTGATGGCTTTGAACACTGTGAAAATTATAATCCATCTTTGTTATAGGAAAAAAAAAATTAGAAAGTAATTACATAGTATTATGAAGCAGTAGAAAACAAGAAGACTACAGGCAGGGAAATCAGTTTGAAGGTAACTATTGTCATCTAAAAAACAGGTAATAAGGATTTGACCTAGAATTGTGAGAACTTGGATTTGAAAGACACTTCGAAGGGGAAAGGCATGGTTTTGAGGCTGGCTCTTGGCCAGGAAAAAGAAGAGGAAAGAGTAAGAGTCTTGGTTCTCACTGGATGATGATACCTGGCACTGCACAGAGCAGTTAGTGGGTGCTCCATAAATATGTCAGATGGAATCAAATTTTTATAACTTGATAAAGAAATTAACTTGGATTGGGCCAGGTAGAGAATTACAAAGCATTCGCATGTCCAAAACAACCATACCCTTAAAATAAAAGTGAAAGAAGAACAAAATTAACTGAAAGATTAAACACTAGTTGATAGAAAAAACCACAGAATTATTTTTAAGGGGAAAAATCAAACCAAGACATCAGAATTTTTCCCTAAAGTATATTTTATAGAACATTAGTCCCAAAATACATACCAAAATAAAACAGATCCAAGGTCAAAACACATTTGGAAAATGTTACCTGCCATAATCACCCTCACATACGTACCACAAACACTAGCATCTAAAATACTCTGAAAAGTTCCATAATTTAAAAAATTTAACTTTATTGAAGACAGTGTTTCTCAAACTTTTGACCACGAAACATTACCAAATCTTCCACAGAACCAGTATCCCTAAGAACATACTAGAGAAGCTATAGCTTTGCAAAAAGTTCTCCAAATAATCAGACTTTCAATTAAATCAGAAGGAAGATTACAAGGTGTGGAAACACAAAAATACAAACCTTCAGGTGAAGTTTTTGAAGAATCCGAGTGAGCAACCGTGGAAATCTTCCTATATCTATTGCATTGATCAGTGACACTGCTTTCTTCATGCTAAAGAAAATTATAAAACAAAGTTTTAAAATGAGCTTTACAAGTTGAACTGTACTTTCCATAGTTGTCTATAAGTTTTCATTCTAACAACTCTGATTGCTATATGGTAAATCTGAGTGAAATAAAGAAAAACAGATGACAGCCAGCAAAAAGGGCAGGGCAACCTGAACATTTCCAAAAAGATGCCCCCAAAATTACTTCTGCTGAAAAGGTCCATTTGGCAAATTTTCTCTTGCTTTTGGGCAAATCAAACTACTAGGGAAAGCTTGTACTCTGCAGGGAAAGAGCATTAATCTAGTAGTGTTTATATAACCACTTAACCCAAAAATGGAACTCTGAAAGTGGTGGGAGGAGAGGAATAGCAATTATGGCAATTACACCAAAAACATAAAGAATACTGCAAGGCAAGTAACTTTTCAAATACTATGTACAAAATCATTTGGGGTCACTAAGGACATAGTTATTTTAAAACCCTCTTTTGATTGTAATAATCAACTTCATTATTACAATAATAATAAATTTTGAGATAGGGTCTCGCTCTGTCACCCAGGCCAGAGTGCAGTGGCATGATCTCAGTTCACTACAGCCTCTCAGTCTCCTGGGTTCTAGGAATCCTCGTGCCTCAGCCTCCCAAGTAGCTAGAACTACATGCACAGGCCACAACGCTGGCTAATTTTTGTCTTTTTTGTAGAAATGGGTTTCGCCCTGTTGCCCAGGCTGGTCTCTAACTCCTGAGCTCAATCAGTCTTGCGGTGGCTCACGCCTATAATCCCAGCACTTTGCAAGGCCAGGGAGGACGTATCACCTGAAGCCAGGAGTTCCAGATCAGCCTAGCCAACATAGTGAAACCCCATCTTTACTAAAAATACAAAAAAATTAGCTGGGCAAGGCAGTGGGCGCCTGTAATCCCAGCTACTTGGGAGGCTGAGGGAGGAGAATCGCTTGAACACAAGAGGGGGAGGCTGCAGTGAGCCAAGATGGCGCCATTACCCTCCAGCCTGCACAATAAGACGGAAACGCCTTCTCAGGGGAAAAAAAAAAAAAAAAGACATCTGCCCACCTCAGTCTCCCAAAGTGCTGGGATTACAGGCATGAGCTACAATACCTGTCCTGTAATAATCAACTTTAAATGATGTGATGAGAACAATTCTTTACTGCACCATATTGGATACTGTTTACTGATGTAGCAGTGTTCCCCAAGACATTGGTATGAGGAAAGAAACTGGCATTCAGAACCAAAATGAGGCAGGAAAATAGGGTCGGGAGGCTGGGAACATAAGGCTGATTCACACTTCAGCTATGACAGGAAATGTCCTCTATATAGGGCATAGGTGGAGTAAATGACTTTGTAACTTTACTTTATCCTCTTCATTTACATAGGGAGTACACCAAGTAACCAATGGAATCATCTAGAGGTTATTTAAATTTCCAAAAATTCTGTAGGGGCTCTTCAGCCCCTATGCTCAGGCAATTTCCACACTGTAGAGTGTAGTTCCATTTTCAATAAATTTCTGCATTCTTTCCTTGCTTTGTTTGTGCGTCTTCTCCAGTTCTTTGTCTAAGACGCCAAGAACCTGGACACCCTCCACTGGTAACAAAAGGAATCCAGGAAGAAGGAAAAACTTTAAAATAACTCTTTTCTTCTGGAAGATTCCTGCCCAATCCAAGCACAAAGAAATTATTTCCGAACACTATTTGCCTATATACGTCAGTACTTTTTCTGTATCCACACACCACCTGTACTATTACTTGTTTTTTCACAAATTAAGTCTGCTTTTACTTAAATAATGTTAAAGGGGAACTTTATGTCACCACCATGGGCAACCAGCTTTATCTACCATAAGTACAAATTAACTAAAAATTTGTTTAAAATGCAAACAAAAGCAAATGCTACCAAAGCCAGGCTAGATTCTGTTACCAATCAAAAATTCGGTCCCATATTCGATCCTGATTTAAAAGGGGTATTAACACATGTTGGTCCAGCACCAGCGTGAGCCTTTCTCACCCCAGGGTCCGAACGGGAACTGAAATCGGAAACGGAATACCGTCCCTCGTGATTCAGCAGCACTCAAGGCAGCGCCCGGGAACTTCTGATACCAAACTCCGCAAACACTGACGCAGACCCCATGCTTGCAGACCACACGCTTCCATACAGACCTCAGCTGCCAAGCGCACTGTGAGCCCCACAGGCGGACCACCGTGAAGGTAGAGGCGCTACACGGCCCCACGCACTCCGCGGACCCAGCGTCGCGACCTCGGCAGCCCACCCCACCCAACCGGGTCCGCCGCGGCGGCCAGGCGGCAGGCAGCAAGGTCAGCCTTGTGCGAGCCCGACCCGCGCCTTCCTGGGCACGGCTACCGCAGGAGCTTAGCGGATCACCTACCTGGGGCGGATCACCTACCTGGGGCTCTCCCGTAGGATCAGCGCCGCCGGCACCGCCATCCTCGACTTTCTCGCACTGCCGCCGTCTGTCAACTGCGCCGAAGCCAGCCAATGGCGGCCGCGGCGGACGGAAAGCCGGAAGGCCCAAGCCGCGCAGGAGCCGCTTTAGAGCTCTGGGGCTCCTGCGACCCCGGCGACCGGAGACCTGTCCCGCAGTCCTGGAGGGCAGAGAGGGCGGCCCAGTTGTCCTCCCGACACTACAATCGTGTTGGACTTAAGTCTGTGCATATATATGTCTTTATATTTATGTATTATATATGTATGTACATACGTGGACAGGGGTGTGTGTGTGTGTGTATTTAATAGGGCAGGTTTAAGCAAGTCCATATACAGACCTGGATAGATATGTGTGTGTATGTATGTGCATATATATATATTATTTTTAATAGGGCAGGTTTAAGCAAGCCCATGTGTACATACTTGGATACGTGGTGTGTGCGTGTGTGGGTATGTTTTTTTAATAGGGCAGGTTTAAGTGAGCCTGTGTGTACATACTTGAATAGGTAATGTGTGGGGGGTTTTTTTCCAGCGTTTGGCCTGCAGAGAGGCAGGCGGTTGAGCCAGCTCCCCTGAGCCTGCCCAGGAAGCTGCGCATCACCCCTCAGGAGAGGTGGTGCCTACAGTTCCACCCTAAGCACTCTGCCATCAACCCCTTCTGTATCTGCATCTGCAGGGCTTGTAGTATGTACGTTCAATTCCTTCAGCAACGTTCAATGAATGAGCGCCTACTGTGTACCAAGCGCTGTTCTAGGCATGGGAGATACAAAAGGCCAAAATTCCTGCTCTCAGGGTTTGCCAGCAGTCTAAATGGACAAGTATTTGTTGCACCCTTCTTTAGAGTCTGACACTGCAGAGTAGGGGAGATGAATCGCTGCAGTGAGTGATGTCAAGGACCTCATCCAAGACTAGGGAGACACCATGTTTGCATAAAGACCTTGGTCTGCCTTTGAGAAAAACATGGAGTGAGTTAAAGGAATTCAGATGTGGGAGCAGTGAAAGGCATGGGAGGTAAGATCAGGAAAAGCTTCCTAGGGCAGGTGGCAAATGCGGTGGGTCTGCAGAGATGTGGAGGTGTGGAGGGTGAGGCAGTGTGTTTCAGGTCAGTAGAGTAGAAGGACGGTTTGACGTTTGAAGAACAGGAATTTAGACTAGAAAAAAGCCTTTAATGACTGGTTGTGGCATGTGCACTTAATCTGGTGAGAAATGGGTAGCCATTAAGTTGTTTTTTCTATCCATCAAATGTTTTGAAGCAAAGAAATTTTGCAGTGGGAGTTGGTTTTTTGAAGGTTGCTGTCAGCAGAATGATGATTGGAGTGGAAAGAGGTAAGCAGGAGGGCTACCTGGAAACTACTGCAATAATCTATGGAAAGCAATAAAATCCTGTGGTACTAAAAAGGCATTGGTGAATTAAAAGATAGTGGATGGATTAGTTACATTTCCGCAGTAGAATATTCAAGAGCTGCCAAAAAATTGAATTTAATTTTCCTTCCTAATTATGTTTTACTTAAATTATTATTTAAATTAGTTGGCATTCCTGGAGCAGCCCAAGAACAACCTAACTGAAAGGAGAAACCAGATTGCAAATTAAATGTGAATAATCTCCACATGGATAATTGAGTCAATTATACAATGTGTTAAACACATACAAATACATTTAGTTCCACAACACTCTACGGTCCCCAATGTATGCATATCTGGAAAAGATGTATGTGAATCTACATAAATTATAGGTCTCTGATCCAAACACAGATTACCTCATCTGCAACTTAAAAGGGTCCCAGTTCCCTCATTCTTTGAATCATTTCCCTTCTGTCTTGATTCCTTTCCTGAAGTAGAACCACTAACCAACTAAAACTGTTTCAAATCCCTAATGAAGTTCACCCTCTGATTGCCTTAAAAATATACAGCCAGAATTTTGAGCAAAAGAGCATCAAGATAGCTCAAATCCCAAATCCATGTAACCTTGGACAAAGTACTTAACTTCAACAAGTTTCTTATTCTCAATCTGTAATGGGGATGAGAATAATGTCTGTTCCTCTGGATCTTAATGCGATTTAAATAATGTGATACGTATGTAAAAGAAATACTCTACCCTCCTTAGAACACAAAACCCAGACCTCTAAGGTTTTCACAAAAGCAAGTCTCCAGTAGACACAGAGGCCACATACTCTAATTCTCTTCATTTTCAATGATGGACTGATTACTTCTTATTACCACGTGTTTCTATAAAGGCGTGATGCTGTGAATAGTTTCACACCTCAAATGAGAACCTCACCCAAGACATTTCTGCATTCTCTGGAGTATAGGCATCTATGTCGATGAAAAGTCCTTTTAGTTGTCTGCTATTATTGTGTGGGAGTCTTAAGTCTCTTCGTAGGCTCTTCAGGAACTTGCTTTAGAATGTGGGTGCTCCTATATTGGGTGCATATATATTTAGGATAGTTAGCTCTTCTTGTTGCCTTGATCCCTTTACTATTATGTAATGCCCTTCTTTGTCTTTTTTGATCTTTGTTGGTTTAAAGTCTGTTTTATTAGAGACTAGGATTGCAACCCTGGCTTCTTTTTGCTTTCCATTTGCTTGGTAAATATTTTTCCATCCCTTTATTTTGAGCCTATGTGTGTCTTTGCACGTGAGATGGGTCTCCTGAATACAGTACACCGATAGATCTTGATTCTTTACCCAATTTGCCAGTCTGTGTGTTTTAATTGGGGCATTTAGTCCATTTACATTTAAGGTTAATATTGTTATGTCTAAATTTGATCCTATCTTATGATACTAGCTGGCTATTTTGCCCAGTAGTTGATGCAGTTGCTTCATAGTGTCGATGGTCTTTACAATTTGGCATGTTTTTGCAATGGCTGGTACTGGTTGTTCCTTTCCATGTTTAGTGCTTCCTTCAGGAGCTCTTATGAGGCAAGCTGGTGGTGACAAAATCCCTCAGCATTTGCTTGTCTGTAAAGGATTTTATTTCTCCTTCGCTTATGAGGCTTAGTGTGGCTGGATATGAAATTCTGGATTGAAATTCTTTTCTTTAAGAATGTTGAATATTGGCCCCCACTGTCTTCTGGTTTGTAGGGTTTCTGCAGAGAGATGTGCTGTTAGTCTGATGGGCTTCCCTTTGTGGGTAAGCTGACCTTTCTCTCTGGCTGCCCTTAAAATGTTTTCCTTCATTTCAGCCTTGGTGAATCTGACAACTATGTGTCTTGGGGTTGCTCTTCTCGAGGAGTATCTTTGTGGTGTTCTATGTGTTTCCTGAACTTGAATGTTGGCCTGCCTTGCTAGGATGGAGAAGTTCTCCTGGATAATATCCTGAAGAGTGTTTTCCAACTTGGTTACATTCTCCCCATCACTTGCAGGTACACCAATCAAACATAGGTTTGGTCTTTTCACATAGTCCCATATTTCTTGGAGGCTTTGTTCGTTCCTTTTCACTCTTTTTTCTCTAATCTTGTCTTAATGCTTTATTTCATTAAGTTGATCTCCAATCTCGGATATCCTTTCTCCCACTTGATTGATACAGCTACTGATACTTGTGTATGCTTCACAAAGTTATCTTGCTGTGTTTTTCAGTTCCATCAGGTCATTTATGTTCTTTTCTAAACTTGTTATTCTAGTTAACAGTTCCTGTAACATTTTATCAACGTTCTTAGCTTCCTTGCATTGGGTTAGAACATGCTCCTTTAGCTCAGAGGAGTTTGTTATTACCCACCTTCTGAAGCCTACTTCTATCAATTTGTCAAACTCATTCTCCATCCAGTTTTGTTCCCTTGCTGGTGAGGACTTGCGATCCTTTGAATGAGAAGAGGCATTCTGGTTTTTGGAATTTTCAGCCTTTCTGCACTCTTTTTTTCTCACCTTCGTGGATTTATCTACCTTTGGTCTTTGATGTTGTTGACCTTCAGATGGGGTTTTTGCGTGGGTGTCCTTTTTGTTGATGTTGATGCCATTGTTTTCTGTTTGTTAGTTTTCCTTCTAACAGACCCCTCTTCTGCAGATCTGCTGGAGTTTTCTGGAGGTCCACTTCAGATGCTGTTTGCCTGGGTATCACCAGCAGAAGCTGCAGAACAGCAAAGATTGCTGCCTGCCCCTTCCTGTGGAGACTTTGTCCCAGAGGGTACCCACCAGATGACAGCTGGAGGTGTCTGTCTACCCCTGCTGGGAGGTGTCTCCCAGTCAGGAGGCACGGGGGTCAGGGACCCACTTGAGGAGGCAGTCTGTCCCTTAGCAGAGCTCAAGTGCTGTGCTGGGAGATCCACTTCTCTCTTCAGAGCCAGTAGGCAGGAATCTTTTAAGTCAGCTGAAGCTGCACCTACAGCCACCCTTTTCCCCAGGTGCTCTGTCCCAGGGAGATGGGGGTTTTATCTATAAGCCGCTGGCTGGGGCTGCTGCCTTTCTTTGGGAGATGCCCTGCCCAGAAAAGAGGAACCTAGAGGGGCAGTCTGGCTACAGTGGCTTTGCCAAGCTGTGGTGGGTTTGCACCCAGTTGGAACTTCCCGGTGGCTTTGTTTACACTGAGGGGAAAAAATGCCTACTCAAGTCTCAGTAATGGTGGACGCCCCTCTGCCCACCAAGCTCAAGCATCCCAGGTCAACTTCAGACTGCTGTGCTAGTAGTGAGAATTTCAAGTCAGTGGACCTTAGCTTGCTGGACTCCATGGGGGTAGGATCCACTGAGCTAGACCACTTGGCTCCCTGGCTTCAGCCCCCTTTCCAGGGGAGTAAACAGTTCTGTCTCTCTGGCATTCCAGGCGCCACTGGAGTACAAAAAAAACTCCTGCAGCTAGCGAGGTATCTGCCCAAATAGCCTCCCAATTTTGTGCTTGAAACCCAGGGACCTGGTGGTGTAGGTACCCAAGGGAATCTCCTAGTCTGCAGGTTGCGATGACCCCAGGAAAAGAGTAGTATCTGGGCCGGATGGCACATCCGTCATGGCACTGTCCCTCACGGCTTCCCTTGGCTAGGGAAGGGAGTTCCCTGGCCCCTTACGCTTCCGGGATGAGACAATGCCCCACCCTGCTTCCACTCACCTTCTGTGGGCTGCACCCACTGTCTAACTAGTCCCAATGAGATGAACCAGGTACCTCAGTTGGAAATGCAGAAACCACCACTTTCTGCATTGGTCTGGCTGGGAGCTGCATACTGGAGCTGTTATTCGGCCATCTTGCCAGCCAAGTAAAATATCCATTGCAAACTTTTATGAAGTCCACCTTTTATTACATTCTGTATTAGCCTGACTTTTCTAGAAAATAAGCCTAGTTATTATACATGCTCAATTGGGAACTATAATTGCAAGGGAGTAGGAATGCAGGCAAAAGGAAACTAAGGAAAGGTAGAGAGAAAGCAAATACAGGGTGGCATGTTATCGAACTGGTTACAGCTTCAAAACCTAGCTTATTTCTCAGTACTCTGGGATATTTCCAGAGAGGCTATTCGGAATCACTGTGTCTTAGAACAACATGGGGTTGGAGTGGAAGAAAGAAATTGAACTCTTTCCAATTTTTTCTTTCTTCATCAAAATCTGTCCTATAACTCATGCTCCTGCATTTCTAGGATATGTCATCTGGTGCCTCTAGGCAGCCCCACTGGAAAATTCAGAGCTTCTGTGGGCCCAGTAGAATAGGAACTGAGTCCTGAAGCTATAGCAGAAGAGGAACCCATGGTTCAATCCCTGCCCATAGCCCCTTCTCGATCCCCCTCCCTCTGCCCTGCCAAGGGTGGCAGTGAGTGACAGGGGCTTTAAACCATGGGACTATCAAGCGTTTCCAGGGGCCATTTTGTCAGGAAAGTAGAACAACATGCTGAAGCCTTGGAAACAAGTGGGGTGAACTTACCTGAGGAGGGACATAACTTAGAGACAGTTATAGCCTTTAGTGGAGTCTCAAAACAAGAGTTGCTTGGGCCCTAACTGCTTCAGTCTTTATTATGCAGCTTTTTCAATTCATATTCACATAATTTTCCCAAAGTACATCATGGCACAACTTGGAGTAAGGTCTGGTGTAGGTCTGGTGTCAGCCCTCCCTGTATCCTAGAAGCTAATGCTTCCTCTGAGTGTGAGCTTTGTCCTGTTTGGAAGGGCTCCTTTGTGGCCTCTACCTACAGCCCCACTGTGTTCTCCCCCTCCCCCCATTAGGCATGATTTATATTTTTGACACCAAGTGAAGTAAAGCCAAGATCTGAGATGTTTTTCTCCCAGAAGTCTCCCCCAACCCTAAGGGAACTCTGAAGACACCAGGGAGCCTCACCCAAATCTATCCTTCGACATTCCAGTCCCAAATGCAAATGATTATCTTTGGAGGAAGAGTAACACCTATTCACCCACCAGAATCGTGTCCCCAGAAACCTAGTCCAGCTGAAATGATCTTTTAAGTAAGCTTTTGATATATGTTCTCAAATAGGGGGATGCAGGCATTTTATTATGTACCTCAGATTGTTCTGGCAAAGGATTGGCCAACTATGTGACCCAGTTCTTTAACATTTTGAAAGCCTGAAGTCCTACAACTTATCCTGAGTTCATCAGATGCATCTAGCAAATAGACATATAAAGGCAGGAGACTAAAACTATCTGCTACCCATGCCTGACTGCCGGACTGACTATAAAACACAAACTTCATATTCAACAG